CCCCGCCTGCCTTTCGGGTGCGCGCGCGACGCTGCGGCTTTTTTCTGGCCTCTGCGGCGCACCCCTCCTCGCCCCTGAGCTATCGGACGCGCGGCTCCTTTCCTTGAGCTTCCCGGGGGCGAGACGCTGGCCGGCTGAGAAGACGCTGCGGGCAGCACCTCCGGTGAGTAACACCAGCTGAGAAGGCTGCTAGCATCCCTCCTCCGTGGGTCTCGGGGCCCAGCATTCTGGCTTAGCGCACCTCAGCTGAGCCTGGAGTAAGCTAGGTGGGCTTTCAGGTTCCCGGTATCTGATCGCTTATTTCTTGAGCCTGGTGGATCTACCTGCGAGGCTCTTCTGAGGCCAGGGCAATTCCTGATGTCACTATCTTGTCTTAAATATAGTCCGGGGTCCGGGAGAACCTGGCCTGCCCCTTCCCACCTCTCACCATACCCGAAGGCCAGAAGTCACCTTTCTGATAGGGGTGCTAGGTTTTTGCCTCGTCCCTAGTGAGAGGAACACATCAAGTGTTTAGGAGACCTCCAAACGACCTTTAGGGCGCCCCTAGACCTCAGCTCCATTTTGTCCCCTTCTGGTCACTCTACAACTGAGAACTAGGAGGGTCTCTCTGGCTCTGGAAGCATCTGCTTTCTCTAATTTGAGGAATGTCTTGGCTCGTACTATATCCTTACCATCCATACCTTTAGATAGGTTAGAAAACATCTGGATTCCAGCAGATGCATACTTCCCCCAAACCATTCCTTCTGAATACATCTCTGCCTTCAGTGGATGCTGTGTATTTCGTATTAGCTTTATTCACTTCCTCTTCCTCTCATGTGAGTACCCTAAAGAATTCTGGCAGATGTCTGTACAAGAACCTAGGAGAATATGATTCATTGCCTGACCCCATCAAGGGGTTACATATTTGAAATAAGACGTCACTCGTTTTCACCTCGGAATCTCCTCCTTCAAAGGCATTTTTTTCACCCTCTTGAAATTAATTTGATACATTAGCTCTTTTCACCATAAAAAAGTCAGTCCCGTCTCTGAGGAACAGTAAGATGCAGAGTTAAGGGTAAAATGGCACTTAAATGAATCCCTTTGAAAAAGTGAGCAGTTTGCTTTGATGATGATGGTTTAATCAATTGCTCAGTTTCCTCTTTTGTAAAAATAGGGATGTTGGGCTAGAGTATAACTAAGGTTCCTTTCAATGTTTTTCTTGGACTTCTACATTCATCTTTAGTACCATGTGGCTGCATAACAGAGATGTAAGCTGATGAAAACCCTGTTTCCCATCATTGCCACTTAGTTTTTTATTTTGCCTCTAACAAGAAAGAGCTTTAAATGTTCTTGATATATAAAGCAGCAAGTGGAGAGTCTATTACAGTATTTCCAATAAGCCTATCAGTCAAGATTATAAAAGTGTAAGGCCTCTTCTTTAAATTGTAAAACAGCTCATCTTTTGATTGAAGCTGCTAAAGCTAAAGAGCATGTAAGACTCCTGTTAAAATTAACACTCTGTAATCTAAACCGGAGATAAAACATTAAACTGTCAGTATACTTACACCTTCAAATAAAGTTCCTATTGTCCCAATATCAGAAGTAATTTAACATCTGAAAATCTGTAGAAGGTATGAGACAATTACATTTTGGGTAAATTTAGTTTTATGTTTTTTTTAACCCTATTTATAAAACACGTGGTTCAGATTAAGACTTTTGTTTGAGTATGTTAGGGAGGAATGACATGGGTGAAGAAAGATCCGTCTTGCCCAGTTCAGTGAGAAGAGAAATGAATTGGGACTCTGCAGAGGCTCGGGTTCCCATCTCAGCTCTAGCTGGATATATAACCCCTTGAAAAGGTTACTTTACAATTTTTGGTTTTCACATCTGTAAACTAAATGTCTTCATGGTTGGCAGAATGATCTGTAGGTTCCCAATTTGAATTCAATATTCTTATAACTGAATAAATAATGATGGATATATATTATGTATAATATACATACATGTGTATATAATGCATTTTTCATTAATACTTGTCATAAATCTGTTATACCAGTTAGAATATTTTTCTCAAAGGTCTGCATATATTAGTTTAATTTACATATACTTAGTTAATAATTCATCCTAACTTAATGAGTTACACCTGAGTGTCTATAAAATAAGGGAGGGGGGAAAGGGATGTAAAAAGAATTTCTTTGAAAGGTAGCTATTACTATATTGTTAATTCAGGTTGCAAATAAAATGTTTATATAATGTGGATTGTATTTATTTTGTGATTTTATATATTTATTTTTAAATGTTTATTAGCACATATTTGCAGTACATAATGATTGCATTCATTACAGGGAGTTGGTACATGTACATAACACATCTTAATTCTTTTTCCATCTTCACCTTTCCCCACTCCCCATTCTTTCTTTTCTTCATCTCTTGATTCCCTTACCATTTGCAAAACATCTATCTCCTTGTTCCCTATTATCTGTCATTTATTTTGCTCATTATTTATAGTTTCACTTTCTCATGTAAGAGAAACTATGAAATACTTAAGCTCATGTGTCTGACTTATTTTAAAATATTTGTGGGTTTTAGAAATTTATAAGGGAATGTGTACACACTGCCTTGTAACTGACTAGGAACTTTACAAGAATATGCATACATCTCATTTGTTCTATTTATTCATTCATTAAACTATCTTGCTCCTCCATCTGTCATTTATTTTGTGCCAGGCCCTCAGGATATGATAGTTAAGAAGACAATCTCTATTTGATGAGTCTTATAGTCTGGGTTGTTAGACAGATGTATGAACAGTGAACAGTTTTTTTTTTTAAATGAAAGACAGAAACCAAATGAGGGACAAAAAATCTTGGGGAAATTAAGGCTCCATAAAGTAGGAGAAGATGGTCATATTAATTGTTGCTTGTAGAATGTTTCCAGCATTACTTTTTTTCCACTTCCTTGAACTTTGATTGCTGAGCCCTTTGCAAAAATGAAAGCTTTGTTTTTCTACTCCTGCAATTGAGTGATCTTATATATTTTTTCATTTCCCAGACTTTAAGTATTGAGAGTTTTGAGATGAATATTAAGATTGTCAAATATTTATAAGCAGTAATATCCTTTATCTGCTCCCACAATCATGCATGCAAAGAGTATAGGAGCAGAACCAAGGAATTCCTCCTTATGCAGATTTTACCAGTTTTAACACGCACTAGTTTGTGAATGTATATTTAGTTCTATGCAATGTTAGTACATGTAGATTTGTGTGATTACCACAGGCAAGTTACAGAAGAGTTAAATCACCACAAGGATTCCATGTGTTGCTGTTTATATCCTTTCCTGACCTCTGGCAACCACAGATCTATGTTACATGTATTACTTTGTCATTTGAAAAATGTTACATAAATGAACTCACAGTAACCTTTTGAGATTAGCTTTTTACACTTGATATAATTTCTGGAGATTCATGCAAGGGATGTATCCTTTGTCAGTAATTTGTTCATTTTCATTGCTGAATAGTATTCCATGGTATGGATGTACTGTGTCTAACTATTCACACTTATCGAAGGACATCTGGTGTTTCCAGGGTTTCATTTGTTTTGATTCAGGGCCAAATAAAAATAAAGCTCCTGTGAACAATTATGTATTTTTTATATGAGCATAATTTTTATATGAGCATAAATTTCCATTTCTCTGGGATAATTGCCCAAGAGTACAATTTCTGGGTTTTATAATAATTACTTGTTTTGTGTTCTAAGGAATTGCCCAAGTGTTTTCCACAGTGGCTGTACCATTTTCCATTTCCATCAGCAATGTATGAGAGCTTTTGATATATTTATGTACTGATCCTTTGTTTGATATGGGCTTTGGAAGCATATTCTTTTAGTCTGTAGCTTGTCTTTCCATCCAACCTTTTCACAGAAAGTTTTGCAGAACAAAAGTCTTTAATTTGAAGTCCAGTTTATTAATTTCTTTTATGGAATATGCTTTTGGTGTCAAGAGGTTTTATATACATTTGTTATTTAATTTTCTTTCTTTCTGTTCTTTATACTACCCATTGTTTTTATAAGCAATGTGAGCATTTTCTCTTTCAACAATCCTGGACCTCAGATATATTCTCTGAACAAGTGGCCTTGAGCTTAGCATGTGAAGATATATTTGGACATTCTCTAATTGTACTAAAATGGCTGCTATCATTTTATGCCTTAAAAATATACTGATTACCTAACTATGTTGTCAAATGCAACATAAAAATCTGTACTTTAAAATTAAATAACATGTTGTACCAAGGAAGTTTTTGGTTTCACTTTCTAAATTAAAAATATTTTGGCAAAACTGTATAGTTTTTCAGACAAAGATTTTGGTAAGTAATCCAGAGAACAAATTTGTGCTCTAATTTAAAGATACTCTGAAAGTCTACTTCTGCAGTTTGAGTAGTGAAGTTATGAACTGTGTACTCAATAGGCTTTTTCTACTCACTATATCAGAATACTGAATAAAAAGTTTTAAATTTGTCCAGACTGTATCTTTTTTTTATTGT